ACCTAGTACTTAAAACGGCAAAACTTACAGACTTAACTAGTGAACCAAGTCCATGCACAAAGAGGGATTGTTCATGCGGGGAAGAATAATATTGAAGTAGGAAGAAAGAACGATAGATAGTGGAGTTAGTAAGCGAAAGAAGAAGAAGAAAAAAAAAAGGGTGAGACATATGCGTTTGTGTGGTTGACTTGGTTGCAATAATTGCAAAGGAAGTGGGATTTCGTATGGCAATGGGAATGGATTATTGGGGCTGGCCATGTGACCCTTTTGTGGCTGTGCATGTATTTGATCATTTCGATGGTATCTATCTGCAGCAAATGCAAATGTCCCTGATCACGACGGATTCATCAAGTAATACACTGTCGCGTTTCGATAGTGGAGAATCTCTCTTTACTTTTAGGGCACAACCCCATTTCCAAGTTACTACATCCCATTACTTTCCTTTCACAGCATTCAGGAAAAAAAAGTTACTTACTATTACTATCTTCATACCACAAGCAGTGGTAAGATTACAATGTGTGTTCATATAGTTAGAAAAATGATATATGCTAGTAGTCACTGATCATCTTCTAACATTTAGATTCAATTATGGGAAGTTGTTGCAATATAATTCGTCATTATCAGCCCTCCTCACTCTAAATCCTAGTTTCGGTTATGGTTGGCCGGGTAGGGACGACAATTTCTACCTGACCTGTTTTACCCGACCGGTTTGGGGCAGGTACTACTCGTCTTGTACGCCGGGCGCGAGGCGGATATGGGTAATTGGCTCGACCTGACCCACCCTGATCCATCCCATTATCCACTCATTTTTGTGTAAATTACACGTAATTTTATACAAACTACTTAGGATTTTACTTTTTTACCTTGTGTTTTGGCTATAATAAAGTTTAAATATGTAAGAATCTCAATTTCTCAAATAATGTAACTACACTTATCATGTTTTATTATGTTTCTTGATTTTTTCATTAAGAAAATCAACATTCCTACGAAAAAAGCTTATCTAGAGGTACAATCACTGGTCTTCAATTTGGAGGTCTCAGGTTTGAATATCATAAATAACACTTAATAATAATAATAAAAATGTATATCACCCTTATCTAAATAAAAAAATATATCAAAATTTCTAATATTTTTCGTTTAATTTACTTACTCGTATGGGTTGACCAGCCATAACTCACAGCCCATGATAAATTACCCGATTTGCCATGAAACGGATATGGATATCGAAATATCCACTCGACCTGTGCCAATGCTATTCCTACTTATGTGATTCATAAAGCTTTATTTCAAGGGAAATTAGTTTGAAATGTTTTGGGTACTTTAATTGGTGTCTGCATACTTACTATCATTTTGATCAACTTATCAAAACACTCTTGATACGATCCACTCGATATGACCCTTTTGTTTCCTTGTTTTGCTAGAAGGGGTTCAAATGCAGACCATTCTGATTTTTCTTGGTGGTTAAACTTGAACCATATGGTGGTGAAGTAGTAGTGCATGCAAGATCTGTCCTCCCTCTTAAATTGTGGGCTATAGCTGATGATGTGTGGTTCATTCCTCTTGGCTGAAGATGAATGTAGGTGGATGTCGCAGTCTATGCCACAAATGGTGGTGCTGGTATGGCGCCATTAGTCTCCCTCGTCAGTAGCTAGCTAGCTATTCTCTAATTTGCTTATGAGAATTGATGAGAGGCACGTTTATGGTACATTTTCCATCTAGCGAGAACTTTTTATGTTTCATGACGCCACGAGTTGCTGTCGCAATTACAGGCATAAAAGAATGGTCATCGTGCTCATTTTATGTACAACCATTAATTTCAAAATTAGTTATCCATCTGTATTATTAACCATTACTATAGGAGTGACACAAGGTGTGTATTATGGTTCTTTTTTAAATGGCTCAGCACAAAACAATTAACCCAAAAATCTTTCAGGTCTGGTTCCGCACATCATCAATAAGGGTCGAACAGTCATACTCTTTTGAAAAGGGTAGTAGTTTAAATGGCTAAATATGTGAGTTGCAGTTTGATTGTCAGATCATACGAAGGTAAGAGATTTGAAAAATCACGAGCAATGTGATTATGAAACTCTCGTATTAAGTTATGTACGGTAGTTTGGGCACAATTTTCGAGAAATCCCGAAGAATAAAAGGATAACCAGGACAGACATGATATAGAGAGAGAAATTTGAGACTACAAACCCTAACTAGTGACTAGGTTATTCTCTTTGCCACCTCCATCCCTTCTTCCCTCTATTCTCTGTGTCGTCTCTTATTACTCTCCTTTTCCATAAACAAAACCAATCCAAGGATAACACACACAAAACTAATCCTAATTTTTCATTTATTTACTCGATTTGATTTGACTTCACCTTTCCCTATTCGATCGAACGGCGAGAATGAAATGACGTCAATGGTTTGTCCTAAGGCTCATTAAAAAAATTAGATATAAGAAATTTGTGACGTTAGGTCGAGTTTCATGACATTGACATCACACACAATTTATGATGACTTCATATATTAATTCGATATCATTATTGCTATTTAATGTGAAATGCAACCACGCCCATCTCCTCATACTGTAAACAAAAAAAAAAACTATACTCGTGTTTTCGTCAAAGCTTCCATCGAGTCTCGCCCTTTTGCATGTTTAAGGCTTATAGACGATGAAGTTGTGTGACGTATAGTTGGCTAACTTGAAAAGAAAATTGCTTTGAGGTAGACTATGAATGTATGTTAGAATTATCTTAAAATAAGAAAATGAATCACATTGTTTATCAACAATACAAAAAACTTATATGTATTATTCATATGTTTTCCTCCGAAATTAAATTAGCGACACATCAAACATATATATTTTTATCAAAATACGTGGTCGATCTTATATATCATATTGGTTGGGTATTCTAGATAAATCACGTATCCAACTATCCATTATTTATTATAACTTGTATGCAGCGGCGGATCCAGGATAGGATAGAGCATAATGCCACATTTAAAAAAAAGACGGAGAGGGCTGAGCCGTAACGTAAAAAACACTAAAACGAATACCAAAAATCGATAATTACAAGTACTATAATAGCTCGAAATCTAGAGGAGAACTGGGCCGCGGTCCGTGGGCGCCCCTGGATCCACCGCTGCTTGTATGGTTAGTCCCAGATATGGTAACAATGTACCATCACCCTTGAATCATGACTATGCGGAAGAAGCTTATAGGTGGTCTATCTTCTTCGAATAAACATACTTCGTTGCATAAATGAAGGCCCAATTTATCACGTAGGACAAATGTATCCAACCAGAGGGCCCAAACAAATGTCTCTTGTAAATGGAAAGTTCACTTCAATTTCACACATTTCTAACTGGACTATTTGTACGTCCGTCGATGAAAGCCCAACTCTTTAAGCTTCAACCGGATAACCGTTAGAAACCAAATCCTGTAACACCAATTTTTCAAATTTCAAGGACTATCAGGTGCATAATTCATTTAAGATGAGTGGTGAAATCATAAAAATTATTATCGTATTGGGCTGATACAGATGTCTCACGATATATTTCAAATTATTGTCAAGACTCAAACCGGCGATTATAAATATCAAAGTGGATCAATAAGGTTTAGAGGAAATCATTATCATCAACAAGTTTAGTTTAATGTCAGTGTTGAGTTTAGACTTTAATTTAGGGTTAATATATTTGCATGGCCCGAACTTTTCACAAATTAAACATACTGACCAATTTTTTCGATCTATAACATCGTGGCCTCAACTATGCATCAAAGTCATTAAATTGGCCAAACCCGAGATCTTACCATTATTTTGGACGGTCAAACGTGTTGACTAATGGTCAATGCACCACGTCACTTCCAAGTATTAGGTGACAAAAAATGGAGAAAGGAGAAAGGAGAAAGATAAAAAAAAATGGTAATAGGTGACAAAATAAAAAACAGGTATTTGTTGGTTTAACAAACTACTTACTCACTCGTTGTATACAAATTGATTTTATCAGTTTTAGTTAGTATTATATCAGTATATTATACTTGTTGAATATATCATCATAGTTTTTAGGACTAATTCCACTAGAAAGCCCAAACTATGTAAAAAGTGTCATTTGCGTACTAAACTATTCAATATGACAAATCTGACACAAGGAGTATATGCGTTTTGTGAAATTTGTGTCCTAAACAATTTTAAAATAGATTGGACTTCGCAGTGGAATTAGCCCTAGTTTTTAATATTGTTTTAACAATAATTTATCATCATTATATATTAATTAAACCATAATTGTCAATTAATCTAATACAATTGCATAATGTGTTGAACAGTACATGAAAGATATCAAAGGGATTTTGCGCTCAATAATTTTTTCAGGGGTTAATTGCATGGTTGGTCACTAAAATTACAAAAAACGTTCATGTTTGGTCACTGAAAATATTTAAATCCAATTTTGGTCACTCAAATTAGTTAAATGGTTCAAGTTTGGTCACTCTCCGTCCAACTCCATTAAATTTGTCTGATGTGGCAGTCAACCCTCAAAGTTGACCGTTAACTCAGTGATGTGGCAATTAAAAAATAATTAATAAAATAAATTTTAATCTTCTACCATTTCCAACTCATTTTCACAATAAAGTAAAATAAATAAAATAAAAAATATTATAATTACAAATTGAAAAGTGGTGATTCCCTTTTGGTCGGCGGCGCATTACAAGACGAAGAAGACCGTGGAGGGGACGAAGGCGGCGGTGAAGGGGGCGGCGGAGTGGTGAGGTAGTATCTCTGAACAAAGGAGACAGATGAACGTTGCTGCTGCTCGACCGGGTCGAAGGACGTCTCTCGGCCAGCACTTCTCTGGTCCAGCCATCTATGACGTTGCCAATCGCGGAAGCCTTGGAGCAGAAATTACACGCTCCCGGTAGGTAGCGGAAGCAAGCTCGTGATAGCAAGCAGCTACCTCGTATCATTGAGAACGTCGCCATGGTTAGAGCAAACCGGGAATGCTACTACTTTCTCTCAGGCAAATGATCGAACACTTGGCGTGTAATCTTCCAACCCCTCTGACCGGGATTCTAATTTCCACGCTTTAGCTCGCCCTTGTGGCCTGTGGGTTAAACTAAAAGATAGCCCAGAGATCCCGACCATATTGATCAAGGAAGGATCGGACATGACCAATTCCTCCACCAACTCGACGTTCTGTCCTTTAACCGCCATGTGAAGCGTCGTTTGCCCTTTCTTGTCAGTTCTGGTGGCGATTGCAAGGTCTTTACCTAGAAGCGCCTTCACTATCTGCAAATGCCCATTTCTCGTCGCGGAGTGCAAGGCCGTCTTGCCGTTGCTCTTGGCGATGGCCGCGACGGTGCCGCATTGCTCCAGGAGGAAATCCACCACGTCCATGTGTCCCTGCGCGGCGACCGAGTGGAGCGCCGTCGTATTGGACGAATCGAATGTCATCGCCAGCTCTGGATTCGCCTCCATCAGAACCCTCAATGTTTCTGCAAACACGATCAAAATCGAAAATGATTAAACCAGTGATTTTCTTTTCTCCCGTTTCAATTGAAGGGTTTAGAGTTGAGTCGTACCGAGATTGCCTTGCTTGGAGGCGATGTGGAAAGCGTCGTAGCCGTTCCTGGCCTTGATCCCGGCCAATCCGGTGTCGCAGTGCTTGATGAGTTCCTTCACGATGTCGACGTGGCCGCACTCGGAGACGACGTACAGCGACGTTTCACCGGACTGGTTCTGCTTCGAAAGCAGCTTCTGTTGGGAAGAAAATTTGTTCACGTATACTATTTTCTTGCAACACAAGCAAACACATAAGATTAAGAAAAACATGCAAAGACACATGCAAACGTCCTAGCCGATAGAATTCACTATCTCTCCTTAAAGAATCTTATTCCCCTCAAGTACCCAAGGTTGTGGAATGATTCCTCCCAAGATAGAAAGGACGTACCTTTCCGGCGTAGCGGTACCTCAAACTCCGGAAACCATCGAACGCAGCGAAACGGCGAGAACCACACTTGACTCAATTTTCTCTTTGAAAAGAATGCAGAAAAACTAGTTTTGGGTTTTGGCAGAGTTTCGGCACCGGTAAAAATCCATGTAAAACTCGTTGTTAAAACAAGAGGGGGTATGGTGCTATTTATAGAAAATGAAGGGATGCATTGAAGGGAGGCAACTCTTCATATGGGTGGTTACACCCCAACCATTGCATTGGTTCGTTTAAAATATTTCAACCATTGCATTGGTTCGGCCTCATGGAAGTTGGACCGGTTTGGTTATTCCAACCGCCACATCGGTTCGGTTCGGTTCAACTCGGTTTGGTTCATTTGGTTACACAAACCAATTTAACCAACTAACCACATATTACATCAAATCGATCGAATTCGAGGCCATGCCTTCTCACATCTTACCAACATGGTACTTCAAGAGACTCTCTTGAAACTTTCCCCTTTTATTTCCATTCACACCACTAAAAATCCCAACAATCCCCCACATGAATGGAGAATGTTGTACTTTAAAAACTATGCAAAAAATCGTGTGATTCTCGACTAAGAATTAGTTGCATCGGAATAGGTAGGTTTCCCTTTGAACCTTCCTTAGTGAACATATATCGAGTATACTCACCAATCGGTAGATGTGATATCTTTGAACCGTCGGTTTTGCTTGTATACTAAGACAACATATGTCACACACCTAACTCTTATCCGTTCACTGGTTCTCATTGTTGTGTTCGTTTCAGCCATGAACACCGCCTGGTCTCATGAGTGCTTAGAGAACTGGCCTTCTTTTATTCTCCTTGAAGCGGCTCCACTTCACACTCACATAGGTGATTTCTAAACGTGTATTCCGAAAATACACTATTTGATCACATCCTGTGTCAAACTTAGAAGCCATTAAAAACCTTCCATCTTTAGGTTTACCCTTATAGTTGGACATTGTCTCATCATGAGAATGGACTTTGAATAATTTGACAATGTCGGACCATCATTCACAACTTTGTTTTCTCCTTGAACCTAGAGGTTGGGTCTGCCAATCCTGCTTAGGTAGAGTTACCGCCATGAAGATTTGTCCTAGGCCACGAATCCATTCCCTTCGATGCTATCGTTAATTTCTAGGTAGGCCTAACGTTTGTTATCACTTGATCTAAGATGATCAATCCAAATAACTTTGCTAGAAATTAATCAATCCATAGTGTTACGTTTCCATTATCTTTGACGAGATTTATCACATAACACTCCTAGCCCTTGCAATAACACCTTTGTGAATAAGTGCGTTTTATTAACGCCAGTCTTTGCGGGCCAAACTACTCAACTTCACCGGTCTTAGAGTTTAACTTGGACGTTTTCCAAGATACTGCTCCTCGTTAACCATAAACGCCTATCCATTAATGGACTATGGCTTTTGGTTCACCCAGTGAGTTCCCTTTGGGTACAATACACCAAAGACTCGTCTCTTTTCAATTCACTACACATCTTGTGAGCTTGACTTGATTTTATTGCCTTGCAATAATCATAACACATGCCAACGGTATTGAAGTCTTTCCACTTCATTAACCTTAGAGTACTTTACCTTCACAAGTATTTCTTTAAATGTAGTGACATCTATGACTTAACTTAGGGTTTACGCAAAACTTCTAAGTATCACTTTCACTTTAGAAACACCCAAGCGACATTCCACATTACTTTCCCCCAATTTATCCCCCACATTTCAACTATTTCGCCATAGTTGTTGAAACCAACGTTTCCAGTTTGGGGAATGTTGTTCATATACATTCATGTATATGGTCAAAATCATCTCGTTGGGAAGAGTGGATCAACATCAATAAATATTCTAGCCTCTGACATAACGTCAATATATGCTAGAGTTTACTCATAAGTTATACCCTTGGACTGGGTTAACTCCACAAGGTTTAAGGACTCTCACTTTCTCATTGGACACCTTCATACTTTCAAGTATGACTTCGTTTACCTTTCCACTTTTGTCTTATGGATAGGTTTGCGTCCCATTGTAGGGTCTCGAGATAGTAGCCGAAGCAATGGCTAGCTCTTCTCCCCCACAATTCTACCCTTTGCCAAACATCATGGAATAATTCCATTTATTTTCCATGGTTTTACTTATTGAACTTGTCAACCACTATATGTATCTAATTGTTTACCAATGGTATGATCTCACTCGATTAGCATACCACAAACAATTCAGATTTTATTAGAAAAATCATCCAATTACTTACCAATGGTATTGATCAAGGCAACTTGAGACGTCATAAGTAATTCAGATGCATTCCAGTAATGGAAATCCCATCTAATTACTTTCCAATGACATTTCATCTATGTAACATGATATACCACAAGTAATTCAAACGAATTTCTAATTCAATTGTCTAATTACTTTCCAATGGTATAAACTTCATAAATATACCACAAGTAATCCAGTCTTTAAGTTCAATCAGATCATCTCAATTGAGCTCTCATTCCAAATTGTTTTCCAATGATATACATCTATATATACCATAAACAATTCTGGCAATTAGCTCCACGTTGATAATCATAGTCATTTTGATGACGACCATCATTTGGCAAGCTTATTAAATCCCTTTAAGGATCAATTATAGCTTCATTTTCCTTGCCCTCGTGGCATAGGAAATATCAAGTCGTAAACCACATACATAATAAACAAATTATTATGTCATCACAAGCATCTTAGGAATTAGAATTCCTTATCACTTATGGCTTACTCGTAATGCAAACCTACTATTTCAAACTATGTCCAACATACTATGAACATTACGTTTGCAACCATTCCGGCTTAGATAGACTTGATTCACAAGTCCCCACTAGCCTTGCACCATAGGTTTTACACACCTATGATTGTTCATATTCTCCCACTAGATAGTTTACTACTATCCAAACCACCGTTACTTAGAGTCCATGAAGGATTATCATAAGTACTTCCATCATCTCATGCATCACCTTGAATGAAGTCCAAATTAAATTGGCACATTTATCATTCATCCATGCCACAAAAATGAAATGGACCAATGCAATAAAAGCATTAAAACTTTGTGGTTAATTTTGGAATCAAACAAGCTCTTAATGGCTTTCTCCAACCAATTTCCACGTTAGGAAACATTTTCCTCCATTGCATCCATGATTCAAATGACAAAATAAAGAAAAGGGACGTGTACCTTTCTTGTCCATGGTGATCAGAGGCGACGACCAGTTTCATCCATTCAAATTAACTCCTACCAACGCTATGGTTCACGCGTGCAACTTCTTTGGAATAATGGATATACTCCACAAAAAAATAGAAATACATACCGATTCACTTTCTAAAGAATTCTGTGGGCAAGTAATCTTTTCGTGCACCGACCAGTAGAGAGAACAAGTTTCTTAGGAATTTTTTTTTTCCTTCCCCTTACTAGAACCAATCAAAGTCGTAACCGAAAAATAACCATAGCAAAACTAACATACAAGTTTTATATGTATGGAAATCAAAATATTGCATTGGACGTGTCTTTTCATGGATCAGACAAAAACCGACTTTCATGTCTACCAACCAAAATTTTAACCCATGCAAATTTTCAAGCAACCGTTAATTCACCAAATGCATAGCATTCGAACTTTCAAATGTGACCTAAAGCCAGAACATTTCGATGCACGTTGCATGCATGTAAAAAGAACTACATTGAAATTATACAATTCACGAATTATAGATGCCAATTTGTACAAGCACCGAGTGCTTGTCTCAAGAAAACAGATTCGAGATGCAAATTCTTCTTAAAGAATCTTATTCCCCTCAAGTACACATGCAAACGTCCTAGCCGATAGAATTCACTATCTCTCCTTAAAGAATCTTATTCCCCTCAAGTACCCAAGGTTGTGGAATGATTCCTCCCAAGATAGAAAGGACGTACCTTTTCCGGCGTAGCGGTACCTCAAACTCCGGAAACCATCAAACGCAGCGAAACGGCGAGAACCACACTTGACTCAATTTTCTCTTTGAAAAGAATGCAGAAAAACTAGTTTTGGGTTTTGGCAGAGTTTCGGCACCGGTAAAAATCCATGTAAAACTCGTTGTTAAAACAAGAGGGGGTATGGTGCTATTTATAGAAAATAAAGGGATGCATTGAAGGGAGGCAACTCTTCATATGGGTGGTTACACCCCAACCATTGCATTGGTTCGTTTAAAATATTTCAACCATTGCATTGGTTCGGCCTCATGGAAGTTGGACCGGTTTGGTTATTCCAACCGCCACATCGGTTCGGTTCGGTTCAACTCGGTTTGATTCATTTGGTTACACAAACCAATTTAACCAACTAACCACATATTACATCAAATCGATCGAATTCGAGGCCATGCCTTCTCACATCTTACCAACATGGTACTTCAAGAGACTCTCTTGAAACTTTCCCCTTTTATTTCCATTCACACCACTAAAAATCCCAACAGCTTCCTCAGCTCCTCCTCCGTCGCAGCCGGAAAAGAATACACAAAATAGAAGCAAATCTCGACCAGGGAAAAGCCTGTGAACAAAACGTAAGAAGCACACACTACTGGTTATCCCGAACCAAAGTGTAGACATTTTTTTTTTTTGGTGAAAAAACCAAAGTGTAGACATTGCTTGATATGGCAATGGCGCTTGTTATCACAGCCAGAACTATCATTACTGATGCAAACACCCTGTCCCTCCCTGTTGAAATCCCATAAGCAACTTTTCAATTTGTAATTATAATATATTTTTTATTATTTTATTTTACTTTATTATGAAAATAGTTGGAAATGGTAAAAGATTAAAATTTATTTTATTAATTATTTTTTAATTGTCACGTCACTGAGTTAACAGTCAACTTTGAGGGTTGACTGCCACATCAGACAAATTTAACGGAGTTGGACGGAGAGTGACCAAACTTGAACCATTTAACTAATTTGAGTGACCAAAATTGAATTTAAATATTTTCAGTGACCAAACATGAACGTTTTTTGTAATTTCAGTGACCAACCATACAATTAACCCATTTTTTCAGTGTGTCCTGAACATTGACTCCAAAAGCAATAAATGATTACAAGTTTACAACCACCAGGCACCAACGTACCGGATGGAAAAAGCTCTATAGTTTATGAAGGAAATCATCAATGCTGATAGCTACCGCATTCACCACTATCCACCATACCATCACCATTTATTCACCTCTACCAGACAACTGCAACAGAATACCCATGCCACTCCAGGAGTCCCATGCTACTTCCAGACAGCCCATACTACTCCTGACAACACCCATGCTTTCAACATGTTCTTTCTTATTGTTTATTATCTTTCCTCTTGTATAAATAGAGTAGGAAATTTTCTGTAACAAATCAAGCATTCGATCAATAAATCATTCACCCAAAGTTTGCTTCAACCAAATTCAACATGGTATCAGAGCTGGATTCAGAATCCAGTATAGGAAAGCCTAAAAAGAAGAAGAGGAAAAGGAAAAGGAAGAAAAGAGTTTGATAGAGTTTCTATACCTTTCTAATCGTCCTTCAATTCTTCTGTTTCTTTAGTTTCCAATCTAGTCCTATAGTGAGTTCTTTCTGTAGCAACCAGCCATGAGTGAATTTACTCCTGGCTGTTACACTTCAATCTAATGCTTCCGCATCTCTCGTCAGCAATGGCGTTGCTACCAGCGCCATATCTATTGCTCGGTGGGAGGCTGGACATCAAGCACTAAGAAGGCAGGACATAGTTCGAGCCAGGGCAACCTTTGCCATCAGCTTCCTTTGTGTCTTCTTCAAGAACCAGCTTCCTCGTCCATCATCAGTCACCACATCCGTCAGCGTCGCGGCCAGATCTTCATCATGGTCAGTTTGTCGCCGCCAGTCGACCGACACCATCATCTTCCGTGCCATCATCATTGGCGGCGCCCAGTCCCTTCACTGCTGCAACAGTTGTCAATCGGAGAGGTGCAATCACCATAGCACATCTGCTCGGAGAGAGATGAAGTCACCATCTCCGACCAGCTGCCCTGTTCGACCGCATCATCACCGCCAAGGTCATCTTCACCTCCAGCGCCATCCGTAATCGACGGCGCGTCCCAGCTCGTCGTCATCACAGTCGCCGGTGCCATAAGTTCCGGCGGCCCTATCATCTTCGCCATAAGCATCCCCGGCGACATTGATCTCTTTGTCATCTTCATTCTCTGTTTCAACCAGTCAGATCCGGCGTTAGATCAACCGCCGAAAGCGTTTGAGGAAGATCGAGATTCCCTCGTCATCGTCCTCCACCAACGGCGATCCCGCTCGTTCTCTGCTTCTCTGCCGGATGTGTCTCCGTCCGTCGGCATCCGTTGAAACTGTTGCCGTGCCGCCGAGTCGCAATCGTTGCCGCCTCACAGTGCTACTGCCTTAGCAAAGGAAGGAAGGGAAGAAGCAGATCAGCGGGGTTCACCGCGATTTTCCCATTGTCGCCGCTGCTGAGAGAAGCAGAGGAGCAGTCTTTGTCATTGGCTTGCTCCCGGTGGTCTCGAGTTCATCTATCGTCGCCATCTGTACCGCCAAATCGCTGCTGCCTCCTCGCCGTGCCCTGCGCCGCCCTCTCGCCCGTCGATCGTCGCCGCCAGTCGTTGCTCTAGCCGTCGCGGGACGAGCAAAAAAAAAAAAAATTGGCGAGAAGGAAAGAAAAGAGAAGGAAGAAGCAGACTGAAGATAGGAGCGGGCGAGCGGCGGATTCCCCAAAGTAAAGATGGGCTGGCCCGCCAGCAATTTTTTTTTCTCCAACCCAAGTTGGGCTGCCACAATACCAACAAATTAGGCCTCCTCTATCAGGCCATGGCCCATGTTTTCAAACCCAAGCAAACAACGCTGGGTTCTAAAAAAAAAAAAAGAAGAAAAAAAATGGAGGATGAGAACAAAGGAGGCAGCGGCAGTGAGTGCTCACAAATGGAAGGGTTTCTCAACCCTTATCACACAATCAGGCCCAGTGGCCCACTGATTTCCCACTTTCCCAAGTAAAAATGTGGCAAGTTTTACTTGCAGGCAAGTAGGCAAATCATTGCCAACAATGTCATGGCAGCGAAGACAGTTACGACCAATGTGTTGGTCACTCTTCCATAGCCAATGTTGGAGTGAAAGAGAGCTTATGTCTGCAATGATTGTCAAGCCACTGTGCGAGGTTTCTCCGATCAGGTTGTTACCTTTACGTTTTAGGCGATTATCCGATCCAAGAAGAGATCGGCCCCTCAGCGTCCAAAAGGCAAATACAACCCAAGAAAAGATCGGCCCCTCAACTTCACGAGGCAATCTCGATCAGATCGTTCCCATGGCGTTTTTAGACAGTTGTACGATCTAAGAAGAGATCGTCCCCTCGGCGCTTCAAATGGAAGAAACGATCCTAGAAAAGATCGACCCCTCGGTGTTTATTGCTATGACCAATTATTCATCATCTTTCAACCTGGGCATTCACAGTGTTCATGCTCCAGGTTGAGGGGGAGAATAGGGAATCAACATAATCAACACAGATCAGTCGATCGGTTCAGTCATCCGGTCGACCAATTCAGTCATCAGATCGATCACAACGTCAAAGGTGTCGATCTGTCTATCAAGTTGCTCGAAGAGACGAAGTCAGCAGTCTCCAAATCAACATCGTCCAAGATGTCAGTCGTCATGACCTTTCTCTTCAAACTCGGCATTCTTAATATTCATGTCTTCGTTTGAGGGGGAGTGAAGGAAATCATCAATGCTGATAGCTACCGCATTCACCACTATCCACCATACCATCACCATTTATTCACCTCTACCAGACAACTGCAACAGAATACCCATGCCACTCCAGGAGTCCCATGCTACTTCCAGACAACCCATACTACTCCTGACAACACCCATGCTTTCAACATGTTCTTTCTTATTGTTTATTATCTTTCCTCTTGTATAAATAGAGTAGGAAATTTTCTGTAACAAATCAAGCATTCGATCAATAAATCATTCACCCAAAGTTTGCTTCAACCAAATTCAACAGTTTATGCACACATATACAGAAGAAAGTAAAATTAGCAAAAGAAAACAGTAAACACACCACCAGGAAAACACCACTGGTCAAACTTCATTTGCAGTCTCTCCATCACTCTCCACACCTTCTGACATCACATAATTTTCTCCATTTCAATTCGATTATTAAACATACAAAGATTACCGCTGATCATCCTAAAAAACGAGGAAACTTGCATTCCAACCACCACGTAAGCAGTTACGCAAATGTATCGTATCGTATGCATCATAACCAAATTGCATCCTTGTGTTCCTATCTATGCTTCTGAATCTGCATCGTCAAACACAATTAGTCAAACAAATCATCATATTAGAGAATGATAGCAAATAAGGATTCAACCCATTAGTCTTTTTCCATTGAAAATACTCACATCAAAGCCCACAAGCGATCTGCAGTAATTTGTATTAGTGACCGCGGTATTTTCCATTGAAAATACTCACATCAAAGCTCACATCTATGCTTCTGAATCTGCATCGTCAAACACAATTAGTCAAACAAATCATCATATTAGAGAATGATAGCAAATAAGGATTCAACCCATTAGTCTTTTTCCATTGAAAATACTCACATCAAATCATCATATTAGAGAATGATAGCAAATAAGGATTCAACCCATTAGTCTTTTTCCATTGAAAATACTCACATCAAAGCCCACAAGCGATCTGCAGTAATTTGTATTAGTGACCGCGGTACTAGCAGTGGATCCACATTCGCTGTTATCCAGCACCGAAACCGACGACCTGTCGAGCTTCATCGCCCACGGGAACTGGTAATTCTGACCGGCGGCTCCCACGTGCGACGACGACCGCTGCATCCGCACCGCACGCGGGACGTTCCTCCCTTCCCGCCGCCGGGTGCTGGGCTGCTCCGGCGGCCGAGCCTTGGGCGCGCTCTGGGACCGAACTTTACGCATCGAGCTCTCCGTGTTCGCCATGTAGCTCGGGAACTGTGCGTGATCGTACGACACGGATTCCGGGTAATCGGGTCGGGGCAAGAACGGCGGGAGAGCCGACGGGTCGGGTTTCGACACCACCGCGGAGGAGCAGTACTGCGGGCTGCTTTGTGCGGTGTCGTCGATTGAGTAGTCGTCGAAGTGACTGCTGTAAGCTCTAGGGCTCATCTCCGTTAGCGCCGACGGCGTCGGCGACACCTGGAAATCCGATTTCGTGAATTGAGTGGAGAATCTCCGATCTGTTCTTTCAGGTTGTGGTCGGGTGTGAGAGGAATAGCTGTTCCGGCCGAGATCCATTTCCACGATCTTGATGTTTTCCTCCATGCCTCGGTCGGAATCCTGCAATGATAGAAACAGAGGAACCATCAAATTTTCCCTCCAATTGGACCAAAACTAAAAACAGGGGAAGGGGGATGAAGGCGATATGCTTACGTAATTAATGTGTCTGTATCGATTCTCTTGGGTTGATTTCCTGTGTGAAGAAGAGTACGGTCTCTGGCCGCTGATGGGAGGCTTCCCGTCCTCTGCCGCTGACGTTCTAATCCTCTGAGCTAGAGCTTTGGCCTGGAGGGTCACCAGTGCCTGCATACAGCGAAGCGTGGCGGTGGCCTGTTTCCTCACCAGATGGCCTCTCACCAGCGCCTGAAGCTTCACCAATCCTTTCAGCGCTCGCAGTGCCTTGGTCGCCTGTACACATTGCTTGCTTAATCAGTTCCGGCTGCAGTGTAATGTAAGAATCGGCAATAGAAAAAAAGAAATCCAGAGGTATTGAGTATTCAATTTCGATCTTCGTACCAGGTAAGATCGGAACACGGATTGAATCATGACCGCGGCGGCCTGTTCAATTGCGCTCTTCCTTTCAGCAGTCAGTCGGATAACAGCAGCGGCAGCCTGGGCAGCAGCCACGGCGGCATCCGCCGCCGCAGCTGTAGCAGCAACCATGGCCATGGCGTGCTTCTTCTGCTCGTTTTCCGAACCCAATCGAGCCGGCGGCGTGGCAGGGGCGGCGGGGACAGAAGGTGGCTCTACCGAATTGGCAGTCGCTGTGGCAGATGTCCTCCTGAAACTCCATCTCCGCTTCTCCTTGGGAGTAGTTGGTGGGTGGGAAATTGGAGTGGCGGCTGGATTCTCAACACTAGCAGTAGAATCCTGAGAGCTAATAACACCCCTGTCTTTCTCTCTGTTGTTATTTTCTCCCTCCTTCTCCTTCTCCTTCTCCTTCTCTTTCTTCCCCGTCAAGAAATTCTTCAGCCATTTTCCAGTCTTACCCATCTCTGTCAAATGGACAGATTACTATTACAGAAAGCAACAAATGAAGGGCTTGAAGGTAATCAAAAAATTTATGATTAGAAGTGTTGGTATATGGTCAGTTACAGGCATCTCTTTTCGCAACATAAACAGAACACAGATATGATCACTTGCATATACCACCATTACTTGCTGAATAGATTGCCATAATGGGATGTTGATTAGCTTGGTTGGTTCATCACATGAGTTTAGTTTCAAGTAAGAACAGTAGGTAAAGTAGTAGCAAAATTAAAGCTCTGATCGTCCATTTTCATACAGATCCATCATGAAGAACATCTATTTTTTACTTGTGCTATGGCTCATTTGTGTTGGTTTGGAATTACCAACCTGGACTGTGAGAAAGAGCTTCTTTTGACGGGTTTTCTGCTGCTTTCTGTCTACTTCTGCTCAGCTCCTCTTCTGTGTCTTTCCGAGCTGGAAACCTCAATTCTGCCTCTGTTTTTTTCCTTTCCACTCTATTCCCTACTCCTTGTGTGTATTTACTGCCCTTGTTATAGGAGACATTCAAGAATGGAGGTGAATTAGAGAAGGAGGAGAAGGAGAAGAAGAAGAGAATCGAACAGGAAAAGAACAGGGGAGAGAATGCAGAGAGGGATGGAGAGAAATTGGGAAAATTGTTCAGTACCTTAAATCTCACGGTTTCAGGGAGAGGAATTGTTTTCAGTGGGACGGGCCATGTGGTGCTCTGCTCCCTCACCAGTCGACAAATTGGATTTTCAACTCATCTTCAATGAGAGTTGAACCGTTTACTATTTTCTCATTCCGTCGGAATACCGTTCTCATACTTGTCCTGATTATCGAAAAATCACTCGTTCTTTTGTTTTCGTGTTGGTGTTACTTTACACTAGAACGAAGTGTTTGACATCTACTATTATCGTTTTAATGTGCTGACAAATTAAAATTGTGAGCAAAGTATACCATTTTCATCTCGGTCTCTCATTTGCGCTAAACTAAGTAACTGGATGGAACATGTGCAACGATTCTATGAAGTTGTGTGTTGGCAAATGTTCAACCTTAATAATACAACACTATAACTCAAATGGGTTGGCTTGTGGAAGTAGCAGTTGGGCCACATTAAAAAAAAAAGCAAAGCAAAATAATTAGGCATTTAATAATAATAATAATAATAATAATAAATTCGTTGAAATATTTTTAATATTTATTTAAAATTACAATACAAACCCTGCAGAAGAGACGAATGCTTGTAGACTAGGGATGGCAATGGGTCGGGTTGGGTCGAGTTTTGCCAAACCCAAACCCAAACCCATGAGTTTATCTTTGAAAAAAACCCGGGGTAAAACCCATTGGGTTTGAAAAACTCAAACCCAACCCAACCCGTTGGGTATCCGCGGGTTCATGGGTACCCACGGGTTTTGTCGTAAAAAATTTACAATTACAAGTTCTTATCAAAATTAAAGTCAAATATCAATCTCTCAATACAAATTATCCATATATAAAACACCATTCTAGAAAATTCAAGCAAATCACAAATTAACTATACAAATTGTTCAACACCAATCTAGAAAACTCAAGAAAATTGAAGCAAATCACAAATTATCCATAAATAACATGTTTAATTGAAAGCTTCTTCATTTTAATTAAGTTTCTTTACTCTCCACTCCATAACATCAACTTCATTCTACACAATTAAAAAGAAAAAATTAGACATGTCTCCACAAACATAAATAAGATTAGTTGTTTAGAATATTAAATATACCAAAAAAATTATTTATATGGGTGGGCGGGTACCCACGGGTCGGGTTTACCTAAACCCAAATCCAACCCAACCCGGTGAATAGTGAACGGGTTTAAACCCAAACCCGGCCCAAAACCCGTCAACACGGATTTTACCCGCGTTGACCGGGTTGGGTCGGGTGGGTACCCGTGGGTTCGGGTTTTGTTGCCATCCTATTGTAGACTGTAGTAGAAAACAAGTTGAGATTTCGTTATATAAATCTAAATCTTGAATAATTGAAATGCATTCGTTGGAAAGCACGTGGTATGTTGATATGCTTCGCAATTTGACTAGGTCTGGATGTTTGGTCGATGGGGACAGTGTCTTGTTGGGACCTTTGTCTTTTCTTTCTCCCATCATCTTGATTTAGGATGGCCTAAATAGTAACTAGTTTTGTGCCCGCCTCATGGATGGCGAGTGTTATCTGTTTCTTTCTATTATTTGTTATTTTTCAATGATATCAGATTCGTAATTTTCATAATTATTTATTATTGTTACCTATTATCACTGACTTATCTGATATGATGACCGCTACATTTACTCTATGTTTTAATGATGATCAACAATAAAGTCAAACAACGCTGTAACTTCATCACCGCTTGGACCAACAATTGTCAACTTCATAAGTACATGGTTTAAACTCGTGTACGCCACCTTACCGAACTCCTATAGAGTTGGTATTTAGACCATGTATTAACGAAGTTTGGCACATGATGTTATACCATATTCTCTAATAGGTGAACCATGGTCTCTAATTCTCTAATCCAAATCATATGATTCATTTAATGAAAAATAATAACCACCGATTCTTATTTGTCAAAATATATTAACATACAAATAATAGGTATGAATGAAGGTGCATATTACACCTCGAGTGTACGCTAGCCTTTTCCACCATTATATCAAAGTACAACAAAACTATTCTGCTATGCTTCTCACCTTCAACATGGTACGAATGATATCAAAGCAAATGTTAGTTATTGAGACACTTTGTCTTCACTTCACATTATCATCCAATATTAAATATGTGACTGACTGTAACTGGAATTGTGTGACTTAATACAAACATAAAGGTGCTATGTTGTGCAGTCAGTATAGTAACTAAATTTACAGGACATCATCATGATATGATCCTGCGTTGATTTTATAGGACACCGGTCCGGGTACATCCCACCCTGGTATACATGACATCGGTTAGGGTATGACCCGCAGTGGATTTATAGGACACCGGTCTAGGTACGATCTGTGGTTTTATGCATGACATCTACTATACTACCCGAGGAATGTATGACTTGGCAAATTAAGATGTAAAATGCAATGAACCTAACCATGCATGTGATTGAATCCTTGTATAAATATTACTTATGATGTGGTTAAGTGATGACTTTCTATGATGTGATATATGAAATGTGCATGTCGATGATGATGGTTTTCTATGGTGTTTTATACAATGATTTAAGATTGGATGATATGATGTTTTGCTATGTTGGGACATGGGTTACATGGTAATGCCAGTATGATGTGATATTTGATGCATACATGTTTAAACATTGAGTTATCAAGAGGCTGGGTGATGGTCCTTATGTTGTGATGTATGAATTCTTTGAGTTTGAGATGATGAATGTGATATGGCATGTGATGATGAATGGATGTTTATTTGACTGAATAAGATATAGCATATCGCATGTATCTTGACAGTTAAGTTAAGGCAGAAGGCCTGAGAGGTGGGTGACGGAAAACTAAATACTCCATGTTCTGCCATGGTCAATAGGAGGGACAATAAGTCATTTTGAACTATACTCTTAAAGGTAAAGGAGAAGATATATATCATTATCTTATGAGTAAGGCTGTCCGGCGAGTATAACTGGTTACTAAAAACAGTAATAGTAATATATGTATTAGGGTGTCATGTTAAGTAAGTATTAAATAGTTATTTACATATCAACAATCATATATCCAATAGTTTAAGATTCGTTTACAAATCTTGCTTAACTTAGGTGTTATTCATCTGAATATGACTCAAAGTTGCACATCTACACTCATGTATGAAAAAGAAAGGAATTTATGTCAAACAATAAAAAGAGAAAAGAAAGGAATTATAATTACATTAGAAAAAAAGTAAAGACAATGTGTTTTATAATTGTGCATGGAAGAATATTTAATGACGTATGGAAAATGAAAAGAAAAAGAAGTTGGAATAACATAAAAGAAAAGATAATGATATCATTTTAATATGCGAGAAATGCCAAATTCAATCCTAAAAATGACAAATGCATTATGTATATGTACATGACTTTTTTTAACTTCTTTCACCAATTGGTCACAAACATATTTAGACCATATAACCATAATTCGGTTTTGAAAAATATACAAAAAAACATTTGGTGACCATTGGTGTCTAGTGATATTCTTAAACACATGAAATTTTGTGTATATATCAATGTACCATATGACTGAACTATATTGATATATTTCATATATTTATAGTAAGTATTTTCTAACAAACTGCAACATATCTACATTGGTTCACATATTTATAGTAGTTCGTACAAATAAAATGTTAAATTCTTTGTGTTCTAGAATGCGGAAGAAGATTATTCTTTACTTTTCATTTTTCAATTTTAAAAGAAAATAACATGTCAAATGATGTAAAAGTTTATAATTATGTACCAACTAAATTTATGCTTTTTTGGAATTTTTTAATTATTTGTAAGAAATTATAAACAATTATGAAACATATTATAAACTAAAAATAATTTATTTGTAGATTTTAATGATTTTCTTATCAATGCTAAAAAATATTATATAAAATTTTAAACGTGATAGCTATTCTATTGGTTAAAAAATAGTTGTGATTAATTGCATGAAAGATTATTTATTCTATTGGTTAAAAATTTGAAATGATTATAGTTTGAGCTTGTAGGTTGCATGATTAAATCTTAGTTATGGTAGTTGATATACATGTTTTGTTGTGGTTAGTAGCATCAAATATACTTTATCCTAGTGGTTGAACATTTGAAATGATGATAGTTTGACCTCGTAGGTCACAGGTTCAAATTTTGGTCATGATGATTGATTTACATGTTTATTTAGTTTTATTTTAATGTAACTAATAACTTAAAATGTTAAAAATGACAAAATGACATGGAAAATTGTGGAGATTTCGTTGTCCTACCTGGCAAAAATTTGCTCCACAACGGCCATAATATAAGTTAAGATTAATCTACCACCCAATCACCCTTCAAGTATATCATAATTTTGTAATAATTACAGTTCATTTATATTACAGAGACTTATAATTCATTAATAATTTATAATGATCCATGAACTGTTTTCGTATTATGAAACATATTCAAAATACATTTATCATTCAAACAACCAACGATGCCCTCAAAAAGCAAACTAATATTCGATATTTCGATTTGATGACCTCCGCTCATGGATGGTGGGAGAAGGTTAGAGGGTGGGTCCCGGGATCCACCCTGGCTTGGGAGAAAAGATTATATATTAGGTATAATAGTTAATTGGGTATAAAAATAACACGTACTTAAATAAGAATGGTTTACCTTTGAAATATTTGATGTATGATTTATACGTTGTGTATTGGTATATTCAATGTTTTATAACGAGCTACGTAAAATGACAATGGTGCATATGATCCGCCCGAAATAAAAGTTGTATTTATTCAATATCTACAAAAAACAATCCACCAAATCATAGCTAGTTTGTAAAAATAATTATATTTTAATTAGAGATAGGGAGATTGTAACGGGTGGCTCCAAAGGATGAAAATTAATAAATTAGTATAATAGTTAATTAAGAAT